GCACTGATGGTCCGGAGTTCAGTTCCAGCACTGCATACAATCCCCTGAGCACCACCGCGAGGGATCCCTGAGTAGAGAACCAGGAATAAGCTTTGAACGCCACTGGATGTGGTGCCCCTGCCTTAAATAACAGTAATAAGAACCACAACCATTGTTTCTCCAGGACCACCCAGAGCCCGGCTGGGTGCTGTGCACTTCACAGACACAAGCCGACAGAATCCATATAGAGCCCTCAGGGAGCTAGCTCTTAGGGTTCTCACTTGCTGAGGAGGGGGATGGGGCTCAGAGCAGTGAAATAATTTACCAGAGGTTCCCACCTCTTAACCAGAAAGGAGACTGTTTCTCTAGGGCCGTCATACCTTACCTGTGGTATTGGTTTTCCTCAAGAGAGCAGGACAGGGCCAGACAGTGATAGCGTAGTGGATAGGGTGTTTGCCTTCCACACCGGCGACCTGGGTTCAATCCCCAGCAACCCATATGGTCCCTCGAGCAATGCCAGGAGTAATTCCTGAGAGCAGAGCTAAGAGGAACCTCTGAGCATCACCAGGTATGACCCGAAAAGCCAAAAAGGAAAAAAGAGTGAGGGACACTAGGGCCCAGAGAGAGAGAGAGAGAGAGAGAGAGAGAGAGAGAGAGAGAGAGAGGACAGGGGGTAGGGCGTTTGCCTCACATGCCATTTACCTTGGTTCAATTCCCGGCACCGCATATAGTTCTCTGCGCACCAATGAGAGTGAGCCCTGAGTATTGCCAGATGTGCCTGCAAATACCTAAAGGGCATTGGGACCAGGACCTGCTGGGACCTGGTGGTTGTGTTATGCTTGGGGGTGGATGTTTATGCTATTCCTGGGTATACAGGGGTAACAGAGCGGGGGGATACAACTAGAGGTATGGTCACTGAAGCCATGTGGTGGGGGGGACGTAGGGGGTGTCTGGGGGACTGACAGAGAGATAGTACAGGGGCTAAGGCACATGCCCTGTATGCGGCCGACCCGGTTTGATCCCTGCTACCAAGTGGTCTCTGAGTTCTGTGTTGACTACAAAACACTCAGTGGTTCCCCTCAGCTCCCTGAGCACTGCTTGGGAGTCCCTACATTTCCCCCCAGAAGAGTTCTCACCAGATACAGGGTGAGAGCTGGAAGCTGGAACTCATGATTTACTTGTGATTTACTGAATGAAATTCAGTCCCTGGCACCTCAAGGGAGACCCCAGTCCTAAGCACTGCCTAGTCATCCCACAGACAGCAGGATCTGAGCAGCACCACAGATCAGGCCAGAGCACCAAGCACTCAGGTATGCAGATCCGGGCAAGTATCACCACAAATGGTCCCCAGGCCCCCTGAGCCCTGCTTAAGAGACCCCCACCCATGAAAAGAATTTTCGGGGCTGGAGCGTACAGTGAGTAAGATGCTTGCCTTGCACACAGACCCGGGTTCGGTCCCCGGCATCCCATATGGTTCTCCTCCTAACCACCGCCAGGAGTAATTTCTGAGTGCAGAGCCAGGAGTAACCCCAGAGCATTACTGGGTGTGGACCCCAAAACACAAACTAAATATTGCTTTTTTAAAAAAGAGAGTTCTCAGGGCTGGAGTGAAACTACAGCGGGGAGGGCATTTGCCTTGCAGCCAGCCAACCCAGGTTCAATCCTCAGCATCTCATAGGGTACCCATAGGATACTATGGGTATAGTATTATAGTATACAATATAGCATAGAGCATTTCCAGGAGAGATTCCTGAGCACAGAGCCAGGAGTAACTGAGTACTTCTGGATATGGCAAACAAAAAGCCAAGAAAGCAAGCAAGCAGGCAGAAAGAAAGAAAGAAAGAAAAAGAAAGAAAAGAAAGTTCTTCTCTGTACCCTGGGGGAACATTTTCTGTCTCATCAGCCTGGGGTCACTGACTGCTCCCAGTGATTTCCAGTTGGGTTTTCCATTCAACTCTTGAGCCAAGCCACCTTGAGTGCTGCATGCTCTTCCATCCCCATGACCACCCCCCCCAGTAGCCTCCTCCAGGGTCCTCCTGTGGCCTCCCCCTGTGGCCTTCTCCATGGTACTCCCCATAGACTTTACCTGCCTGTCACTGTGCTCCGCAGTTCCTAGCACTCGCTCCTACATCAGCAGCTAAGAGTTTCATCCACATGACCTACTGCGACACCCTGAACAAGACCCTCCCCCCTGAGAGCCCCATTTCAACCACGAGAAAGTAAAGCTCTCTTGAGTGTTCCCCAGACCGTGGATCTCGCCTCTTGGGCTGGAAGCCATCACTCAGCTGTGTTTTCCTGGTTGACTGACTGGGGGTCAGTTCCTGAACCTCTCTGGGCCTCGCTTTTACACAGGGAAGATGGGCTGCAGGATGGGGTCATTGAGGCTTAAAGATATGCCTCTGCTCTGCATTCTCCATAATCCAGCTGGGCACTGGGCCACACCATCAACATCAACCACAGTAAGAACTGATCATTCTTGGGGCCAGAGCAAGAGTACAGCAGGTAGGGCATTTGCCTTGCACACAATTGACCCAGGTTCGATTCCCAGCATCCCATATGATCTCCTGAACAGGAGTGATACCTGACAATGCTGGCTGTGGCCCCATAAAAACAAAACAAGGGTCTGGAACAATAGTACAATGGGGAGGACATTTGCCTTGGACATGGCCGACCTGGGTTCGACCTCCAACATTCCAGAGTCCTCCGAGCACTGCCAGGAGTTATTCCTGAGTGCAGAGCCAGGAGTAACCTGGGAGCATTGCTGGATATGGCTCAAAAAGGAAAAAAAAATTGATCATTCAGGGTGCAGCGTGAGCTCACTGAAGTGCCACGGAGTGCGAGGGTGGTGGCAACTGTCCCTCGTGGTAAGATCGAGACTCAGAAAAAAGGTGGGGTGTACCCAGGCACCCTTAGGGGAAGGAGCCTGTAGTTTGGGGCTGAACATCTCAGACTCTGGTCCAGTTCTGCACCCTGAGGTCTCTGGGAAGGAAGGGCATCCCCTGGGCATCTCAAGGCCTCAGTTTCCCCATGGATGCCCTGGGAGGGGAACAGGAGAGTCCACAGGTGACAGTCTGCACAGTGGGGAAGCCGAGAACTCCAGGATTCCAGAGATCCTCATCCCGCCTCCATGACCTCGGCAAACGCTTGCCGTTTTACTGAACCCTGTCTACCTCATCGGAAGCAGCAGCCCCAATCAGCTCTCAGGAGAGCCGTATTGGGAGATTAACCCATATCTCAGCACCCGACTGGCAGGCGGTGCCAAGTACTTGGACAGGACTGTCCTTGGCAGCCTCCCCGCGGTGGAGATTCTGGGATCCTGAGCACCTCAGCCCCTTTAAGAGAAGGATGGAATCCCCCAGCGAACTGGGGCTCAGAAACATGGGTCCCCTGATTTCTGGGGACCTCTGGCAGGTCTGGAAATGGCAGTGGGGCAGGGTGGAGGGAGGAAATCTGCAGGGACAGACTCATGTGTGCACTGGGGGTGGGGGAGCAGGAAGAAAGGACAGGAAACTCCCTCCCACCCCTCCCCCCACTTCCCTTTCCTCCAATTTCTGCTGGATACCCTCAGAGACTGGCCAGGGGGGTCCCTATTCCTGTTCCCACCTGGTGGGGCGGGGGCACTGAGAGGGTTGGAATAGACTGGGCTCCTGTGAAGGGGAGGGGCTGGGGGCCTCCCCCAAGCTCTGGCTCCCTGCGCAGGCACAGGGCGTGGAGGAGTGCCCAGGGCCAGCCCATCCCTCCAGCCCATCCCTCCCCATCCGGAGGAAAGGGCCGGAGGAAGCGAAGATTTCGGCCAAGGTGAGCGCCTGCCGCCAGGAGAGAGAGGCTGTCTGCTCTGGGGTCTCCCTCCTTGTAGGGAGCCAATGGGCTGGGCTCAGAGGACCCCAACAAACCCCAGGGCTCTGAGCGGCCCCTGCGTGCTGCGGATCTGATTCCCGGTGCACATCCTCAACAGTCACAAAAAGGCGCCCCCTGGGCAGCCCCATCTGGACACAGATCCCCACACGCGGGGTCACACACAGGCACCCCCCCATCCTTTTTCAGGTCCCTATCCCTTTCCCTGCGACACACCCTTGGCACCTCCCCCTATCCCCCCCATCGCACACGCCCCCCTGATGTCACCTCTGCACACCTCCGGGTATCCCACCCTAGGTCAGCCTCCCTGGAGGCATACCCACACCCTCTAGCTGTCAAAGTCCCTCGGAGCCACCGCTCAGCGCCCCCCACACACCCCGGCATGCCACCGCCACCCAAGGGGACACACACGGCCCCTTGTCGGCCAAGGGTCTGATCGACGGAGCCTCTCTCACCTGGCCTGACTCTCCCCATACACACACCCCCTCTTCCCTGTCATGGCCACTATCCCTAACGTCCCCGTCCCAGGACACACAGGGCGCCCCAATCCCCAGGCACCCTTTTCCACGCAGGTACCAGCCTCTGCCGGCACCTTCTCCCACCCAGTTCCACACACCCATCTTCCCCTCCTTTTCCCCCAACGCACTGTCCCGGGCTCGGTCCCACGCAGCACGCCACAAGCCCGTGGCCCACACACGCGTCCTGCGCGCGCGCGGGGACAACCCTGGCCCAGGACAGCCCGGGGGAGCCAGGCTGGAACGCTCCGGGGCCACAGGCCTCGCTCCGCCCTCCCCTCCCCCACGGCCGGGACACGCCGGCCGGGGGAACACCCCTGGCCCGGAGGGTCACAACACACACCCTCAAGGACACAGAGACGCCCGCCCGGGGCACCCACGCCCCCCCATCCTTGGCGCCCCTCCCCAAGGACACTGACCCCCTCCCCCCCCAGCCCCTCTCCACGCAGACAAAGCTCCCGGCCCGGCGCGCGAGGGGAAGGGCGTCCGAACCCCTCCCCGACGCCCCTCTCGGGTCCCCGCGCTGGGGAGGGGCGCCCCGTCCCCTCCCCGGGGCCCTTGCACCTGCCGTCCGCGGGGGGCAGGGCGGAGGATGGAGAAAGGCGAGGCCCCGGGCCCGCTGCCCCGCGCCCCGCCGCAGCCCTTTCTCACCTCCCGTGTTGCTGCGCTTGGTGCAGACCACCTCGGGCGGCGTTTCGAGGGGCCTCTTGCGGGAATCCGGGGCCTCGGGCTCCATGGGGGGGGCCTGGGGCGGCGGCTGCTGCGGCGGCGGCTGCTGCGGCGGCTGCGGCGGCGGCGGCGGCTGCTGGGGCGGCGGCGACGGCTGCTGGGGCGGCTGCGGTTGCGGCGGCGGCGGCGGGGGCGGCGGCGGCTGCGGGGCCGCGGAGGCCGTGAAGAGGCCGTGCACCGCGCCGGCGGCCATCATCCTCATGGTGGGGGGGGCGGGGGCCGGGGAGGGGATGTGGGAGGGGGAGGGGGCGGCGGCGGGTGGGGGAGGGGGAGCCCCGGCGAGGGGCGGAGGGAGGGAGCGCGCCGGGGTGGGGTGGGGGGGCTGACAGAGGCTGGAGAGCGGATGTGAACGGTGTGGGAGGGAACTGGGGGGCTCTCGGGCCGGGCGGGGGAGAACTAAGAGGTGGGATCTCTCTCTAGACCGCCGAGACCAGAGACTAGCCGCGCCACTGCGAGGGGGGCCCTGGGGGGCACGAGACCCCCCCGCCTTCCCCGCGCTTTGCTTTCCCCGGGCACAGGGCCGAGCCCCCAGACCCTGCTGGGGGCGGGGGTCCGGGGGAGCCTTGGCCGGAGTCGGGGGAGGCGGAGGCGGCCGCTAGTGGGGAGCCGGGGGGCGGCCAGCGCGGGTGGCTACAGCGGCGGGGCTGGCGGTGGCTGCTGGCCCGAGCATCTTCCCGGAGGCTCCCACCGCGCCTGGCCCCGCCCACCCGCAGGGCCACGCCCACGCCGGGCAGGGCCACGCCCTTCCGAGCCCCTATTGGCCTGACCTTGAAGCCTGGGCCACGCCCTTCGGGGTGGCCCCGCCCCGTCCCACTCCTGGGAGAGTTGGCTGGCAACCCCCCTATACTCACGCACTGCACTGTGAGGAAGTGACCCGGGATTCTTTCTTTTCTTCCCTAGCCCTCGTCCATCATCAGCGTTTCATAAGCACTTACTATGTGCCCGGGCTGGTTCTAAGGGAAGAATTTCACCGACGTTATCACATTTAACTCCCCAGAGCAAGTTCTGGGGAAGTATTCTTAGTCGCCCCCATTTTACAGGCGAGCACAGAATCTCAGCAACTTGACATCACTTGGGGTAGACTAGAAATCCTTCACCGATCTGAATGCTGGGAAGTTTCTCTGCTAAGTCCCCCTTCCTTTGAAGAATCCATGAGGGGTTCTTGCTAGAGGGGAAGTTGGGGGGGGATTCAGTGAGCACCCAAGGGAAATGAAGCATATGGCACTGAGCCTGATACACAACTGACTCCATTTAACCAACAGTTCTCAGGAACTGCCTCCTAAGTGCAGTCACCACAGCTGCCAACACTGGGTGAGCAAAAACAAAGCTTTCTGGTCCCTTGTAGGGTGTCTTATTCTTCTCTTCTTGTCCTTAAGAAAACACACACACACACACACACAAAGGAACCGCAAACTTGGGCTGACTAGCTGGAGGTCCCAGAATTTGGAGAGTGCTCATTCAAGGACCCAGGAATGTGAACACAGGGAGAACCCAATTTCAGAGCCTGAAGTTGCTAAAAGTCGGGGGTGGAGGGGGGGGCAGGCTTCCTTGAAATGGATCATTGCTAACAGGCCCTCTTCCTGGAACCACCCATTTTGCTCTCCGAAGACTCTTTCTACCCCAGGTCAGCTAGCCTTTGGCAAGATTAGACTCCAAGAGGGGGCTTGGATGGGGGTTGTAGGAGCAGCTGGGGGGCTCCTCCCTCTGCTCTGTGCCACTCCCTTGCCTGGCTCTCAGGTCCCCAAGATGGGGAGGGTAGCAGATGGCCTGGGGTGGATGGGGTGACCTCCCATCTGTCCCCTCCCCCCCTCATTGTCCCCAGAGTCAAGGGGGATGGGAAGGGGTTGTGGTCCACTGCGGTCTGGATCCTCCCCCTCCATCTTCCTGAAGGGAGCGGAGGAGCTGGTTACCATGGAGACAGGAAGAGGCAAGCAGGATGCAGACAGAGACAAGGGTCATTCTGAAAGCCACACCTTAGACCCTCTGAGGCACATTCGCCCACACCATGCAGGTACAACATCTTCACAGACACGAAGTTCGCCTCGTTTCTTCCCTGGGGTTCACAGGTCCTCCTGCAGGCTTTACTTTTACTGAGGTACCTGCTGATGTATAGAGACTCAGAGCAGAAGGACAGGCATGCACACGCATACACACACACACACACACACACACACACATATACGAAGACATGCGCGTGCGCACACACACACCGCAGACTGTCACACACGAGGAAATAGACACGTATTCAATATTGGAGACTGTCCCAGGGGCAGAGACTCAGAGCCCAAACAATGCCACCCGTGGCCACACCCCCCACCCCAATTTACGAGGACACGATCACAGAACCCACACAGTCTGTTACATAAGACATACACACCAATGACATGTGAGCATAACTGAAGGACCCGCAGGCCCTCCCCACGGACAGGACAACTAGAAACATTACCATCCGTGCCCATCATCTCTCTCCTCTCTCTCTCTCTCTCTCTCTCTCTCTCTCTTTCTCTCTCTCTCTCTGTCTCTCTCTCTCACTCACACACACACACACACACACACTGCAAGGACCTTGTGGTTCCCTCAAGACCCACCTAATGTACATGTAATCTCAGACCCCGCTCAGCACCCCGTACCCCATTCCACAGTCCTGCCCATGGCCCCAGCTCAACTCCCCACTCCTGGCCCAAGTGCTCCCATTTGGACACACAACAGCATGGTTGGTCACGCACTCACACTCACACACAAACACAAACCTCCTCCTAGATATTTTTAAACCTAGGCTAGTCCTGCTGCTATGGCAACCGCCCCAAACCCATTGCCATAGCAACCCAACGTCAGCTTTCTAAGCATCAAATCCTGGGGGACTGCAGGGCCCCAATCAGAGGCCAGTGGAAGGGGCTGGCGCACCCCTTGTCATCAGCCACGCCACCCCAATAGCCCAACCTCAGAGCCTTCAGGGAAGAGACCACCTTAGGCTGGGCAGGGATGATACAAGAACCCCCTCCAAGATCAGACTGAAGCCAAAGCATACCTCAACCTGCTTTTTCTCCCTAGCCCAGTCCTAGCCGTGGCCTATGCAAGGGTTTTACTATTCCTGAGAAACAGGTTTTGGGGGCCAATATTACAGCTGGCACCAGCATGCGGCCAACCTGGGTTTAATCCCAGGAATCCCGATGTTCCCCTGAGCACAGCCAGGAGCGAACCCTGAGCTCAGAGCCAGGAGTAAGTCCTGAGCACCTCTGAGCGTGACCCCAAAACAAAAAAGACTAAGAGGCACAGAACTGGCCCAGGATCCCCCGTTAGAGCATGAAGCCTGAGAATCTAAACCCACGCAAAGATCCGTCCTTAAACGATCTCTTTCCTGCCTATCAAAGGGCAAAGTTTGGAGAAAGGCAATGAAATAGGGGTGCAGGGCTGTGGGGAAGTTATCTAACTTCAGTTTACCAGTTTGAAGAACAGGAGTTGAAACAGTCCTGCTGGCTGGGGTGCAGGAAGGTCTGGGAGTATCCTGCCTTTGGGGGCAGAGATCAGGCTGGTCCCCCAAGAGCGTTCTGTGTAGGTGGGGAAAAGATTGGGAGGGGCAGGGAAAATGGGCAAGTGGACATGCTCAGGAGCAGCTTCAGGTGGGACCCCAGCACTGCTCTTTGCAGCCCAGCCTGGCAGCCTGAGCCTCAGTTTCTCCATCTGACAGCAAGGAGTTGTAGTGGTGCTTAGGGTATGGTTAGAATTTCCGAGCCAGAATGGATCAGACCCTTTGGGGTGGGACCAACAGGTAGAGAAGTTGAGCTGATGTGAATATCAGTCATTCAGGCTGTCCAGGGTTAATCGGAAGGGAGCCTGGGTAGGTCCAGGTTACACCAGCTCTATTGATCCACAGGAAAAAATGGCAGGGGGTAGGTGAGCACCACTGGGTGTGGTCACCAAACCCCAAACCCAACCAATGAACCAAGAGAAATAACCTGCATGGAGCTGCATGGGACAGGAGTGATAGCAGAGTGGGAAGGCTCTTGCTTCGAGGGCAGATGACCCTGAGCATTGCCAGGAGTGATCCCTGAGCACAAAGTCAGGAGTAACCCTTGACTCTGGGTGTAGTCCCAAAACAAAACAAAAAAGGGCCTGTGGCATGATTTGATGCTTCCTGGAAAGCAGGAATGGGTTTCAGGACATCATCCTTCACCTAGACCTTCGTTTGTAGGCTCTCTGGACACTGGACAGATCCTGATTTTGTCTCTCCAAAGCGCTGGTTGATTTCACAGTCCACTAACTGAGCATATAAAAACTCAGAAGTAGAGGTGACTGAGCGTATAAAAACTGCTGGGGCCGGGGCTGGAGTGACAGTGTAGAGGGTAGAGAGCTTGCCTTGCACGTGGCTGACCCGGATTCAATCCCCAAATCCTGTATGATTTCTCAAGTACTGCCAAGAGTAATTCCTGAGTATAGACCCAGGAGTAACTCCCCAAGCATCACCAGGTGTGGCCAAAAACAAAAACAAAACAAAACACAAATTGTCAGCATCCATTAGACGGACATCTTTACTAAACACTTCCTAGGCATCTGGCACCAGGGCTCAGCATTTTATGAACAAACTGATGACAATTTCCTGACCTCAGGAGGTCACTTGTTATAGAGAGAAACAATGCAGGAAACAGTCTGGTCGTGGATGGTACAGGGCTTTGGAGAGGGGCTGGAGCAATAGAACAGCGGGTACAGGCATTTGCCTTCCATGCGCCAACCCACGTTTGATTTCTGGCACCCCATATAGTTTCCTGAGCCCCACCAGGAGTGAACCCCAACCACAGAGCCAGGAATAAGCGCTGAGAATAGCCAAGTGTGACCCAAAAACCAAAAATGAAAAAGAAAAAAGTGTGTGTGTGTAAGATTGTACAGGATGTAAGGTGTTTCTATGCATGTGGCAGACCCCAGTTCTTCCCTCACACTGCATAGGGTCCCCCCAAACCCCACCAGGAGTGTTCTCCAAGCACAAAGCCAGGAGTGAACTCTGGCATCTCCAGGTGTGGTCCCAAAATGAACAGCAACAAAAACCAGACTGGTTGCTTCCACCACCATCCCCAAGAACCCCGCCCCCCTCCCCGCCCCAAGAGCAGGGAAATTCTGTCCCCATCTAGTG